TATATTTAATTCTTTCATTTTTCGAGGCTCCTGGTAGTGCATAAGCTGGCATATTTGCCTTGAACGAATTTTTCTTGTCACAAATTCTGTTTCTTGGTGACCATTGACTATGTTCAATTGTGTCACAGAATATTGGTTCTGTATTATTAGTTGCTTCTTCTTTTAATTCTAATAACCTTTTGTCGATAGTTTTAATATTCTTTATAACATCATAGAGCATATCGTTAACTGGTGCTTCAGTGTCTTTTTTAAGTCTTTTTTCCTTTTCATCATTTGATTTGCTACCTTCTGTAAGATCTTTAGTTGGTTTTATATTTAAGTTTGCATCTTTGTTGCTTTTTTCTTCTGCGCCAACCTCTTTTTGCCGTCTCTTTTTGCTGATTCTCATCTTTATTTCTTTTTCTATTTTGACTTTATTTATTTCTTCATTCTTTTTTCTATTTTGTATAATTTTTTCTTTGCTTATGTTTGATATGTATTCAATAGAGCTTGGATGTTGGTTTATCATTTTAAGTTTTGTTACCCATTCATCTGTAGTACCTTTTTCCAACCATCCTAGTTCTGCTAAATGGAGGGTATCGAGAATTTGACCATAAAGCAATAAGTCATCAGGTGTAATATGATCTGGATCACTTAATGCAAGATCCTTTGCAATAAATTCAATATTGCATAGGCTTTTTGTAGATGTTGTTAGAATATTATCTAAAATCTTGCTATTTAAATATCTACAATTTCTGTCGCCCAGCCCCTTAATATAATCAATAAGATCTGATTTTTGAATCTTATCCATCGATCTACTAGTTTGTATTCTAGATCAGATTAATTCTTGGTTGTATATTTTATGTGCACTTATTGTTGTAATATTATTTGTTGTTTTAATAGATCCTAACTGGATTGGTGACTACCTAATTGGAAACGTGTTTTGTTTGTTTGTTGTTGTTTGTTTATATCGAGTAGTCACATGTTGAGATCTTCTGTTTTTCTAGATTAACAACAATTTCCTCAGCAGTATGAAAATTTCCAATAATTTTTGAAATTTCATTACAATTTTAAAGGATATTTGTATTTGTTGCTAACAAAGTTTATTCTTTTTTGTATTTCAATAAAGTGTTGACAGTTTCTATTACTAGAAGCTTTTCTAGAACTATAATAAGTGCCTGCTAACCTACTTTCTGTTGTGTTTTTGATTTTATGATTTTGATTTTATACCTAAATTAGAGATCAGCAGAAAAAGTTTTTTTGATTTTCAAAGAGTTTGATTAATTATTTTATTATTTGATTTTGTTTTTTTATCTATAAGACTAATTTTGTTTAATTTTTTTAGTTAGTTATTATTTACAATATTTTTTTCATACTGTTTTTAAAAAAATATTTTAAGTTATATTTATCTAAATAATTATAAATGAGAGTGTAAGTCCCATAGCTTAGCAGTTAAGCTTCTATATTTTTCACAGTCAAGATCAATAGTTCAAGTCTGGCTGAAGGCAAAATTGAAAGATTTTAGCTTCTTTAACCTAATAAGGAGCCTGTAATTGAATGTGAAACCCTGTAGTTGAAGTTCAAGTGCAGTACAATGATAGAAGTAGAAATTCCTAAAAGAAGACCCAATTATGGAGTAAAGATACTATGTATAACAAGTGGTTATTATAGAAGCTTATGGTTATAGAAGAATTGTGCATGTAAGTTCTTTAGGCTAGGGCAGTACTAACATTTTTATACCTCCTAATATAAGCAGTATTAACATTTCTGCACCCAACTTATAGAGTACTTGTTTGAAAGAATGATCAACAGATTGTGCAAATAAGTCTTAATTAGGATTCAAGAAGAGGATTTGATTAGGAGAATAGTCTAAAAGTAACCAAGATTAGAATGATAAGAGAAGCAATAAATATGAGAACAAACTGTGATAAAGAATTGGTCTAACCAAAAATTAGAAGCACCTTTGGCATAGCCAAATAATCTAATTATAGAAAAAAAGATCTTGAAGATAGATGTATAACTTTCTTGTACAATATAAAAGTATCAAATCAGGTTCTGATTGTATCTATATGGAAGTCTATGATGAACAAGACTAGAGATTAACTAACCAATGTGAGATAAAATCTGCAAAATAGTATAGTATTACTAAAATTGGTATAACTCCTTGAGCATAATCAGAATTGTTCTGCAAGTATTGTTGAATAAGCTAAGAGCTTGCAATATATGATAATAGAGTATCACTAGAATCAAAGAAACTCACTAGATATAACTAGAATTGTTCTGTTTATAAGTACAAAAAGTCTTAGTCTTTATTATAAAAGAAAACACCATGTTAAAGGTTAAATGCAATATCAAGCTACTATATGATACTAAGACCTAAGGCATTTGCAGGAATGATGGCAGCAAATTTGACTTGAAATACAGATTGATCAAAAAGACTAATAGTGACAGCAGATCTGACTTGAGATACAGGTTTATTGCAGATCTTAGACCATTGTTAGAACATCTTAGGGGAAATAATAACAGGTATACCAAAGATGAGAAGATCATAAGAATCAGATATACCCGAGTAGGACCAATTTAGAAGTGGTATAGTGACAAAAAGGTGAGAAATGTGAGAAACAAGATAATACTAGATATAGTTAGATTAGGAGGCAGAAGAAATAAGACTAGGTAAAACATGTAAGTAGGACATATAGGTATGATTTACAGAAGACAGTATCTCTGACATTTGAGTACCATATTAAGTTCAGTAGGTATCCTTGTCTGTGTAGTGGTTTAATATATGTTATGACCACAAGTGGTTGTCAAGGCAACTGCATACAGGTATGTGATAGACATACACTTAAGTGTTATAAAGGTAACCAGGTGAAGTCAGTAGTGTAAAATTAAATAGTATATAGTATTAGTAATAATTGATTCTAAAAATGTAACTATAAATCTGTACTATATCAAATTAAAGCTAATAAACCAACTGACATTGTTGCCAAAGTTAAAAAAAAAATAATTATAAACCTCTTGATTTTTTTAAAAGTTTAAATAAGGTTTTGTAATATTATTTTAATCTTTTCTTATATTAAGCTTTTAATATTTTTAAATTTATATTTAATTTTTTTTTTATTAAAACTTCTTATAAGATTATTAATTATAATTTGTTTGTCTTTTTATAGACTTTTTTTAAAAATATTGTTCAAACTAAATTAATAATTGAACTTTTTGTATTAATTTATTCTTTTTTGTAAATTTTATATATTAGATGTTTTTGATTATTTTCTTTATTTTATTATACAGAATATAATATAATTTTTGTATATATTTAGATGTCTTTTTGTTAAAATTTCAATGCTAGTAGTTTTTTATTAATATATTTAATTAGTCTTATAATTTCTTTATTTTTTTCATACTTGTATATCTGACTTTAACTTCTAACTTTTCTTTATAGTATTGATTAATTATGTTCTTTTTTTTCTTATTTGACTCTAACTTTTAAACTATTAACATAAATCTTTATTTTGTACCAACTTTGAAATCTGAAATGTTTTGTTAACTCTTTTATAAATATTTTTTTTAACAAAACAATATACTTGAATTTGATGATAACTATAATAAAGTAAAAAAAAACTATAAAGAAGGTTTCATTAGAGCTGTAAGACTTCATAATCAAAAATAAGATTTAATTCTTATTTGTTTAAAAAAATTAACTTAATAATAAGTTGACTTTATTGGATTTTGAGAAATTATTACTATACTAACTTTTTTAAACAGATGAAAATTAGATCTTATTTTTGGCTATAAAATCTTACAACTTTAATGAAACCTTCTATATAGTTTCTTTTACTTTATTATGGTTGTCTTTCGTTTTTTTAGAAAAGTACTTTTAATTGTATATATAAATTGAATTTATTAGCCAATCAGACAAATTTCTGCCTATGTAGAGAACTACGCAGTAACGCCGATGGATTTTCATTTATCGACAATTTTTTTAAGGTCATAAAACGCTACATTAGGATCAGTTTTACAATTATAACAATACTTGTTTTATACTAAAATTTTGCAAAGAAATTTTTTTACTAATGCACAGAAGGTGGTCACATAGACGAAATTTTGAGTCACGGAGGTTTTTAAAAAAGTTGTTTTTTTGTTTTTGATTTCACATTACGCCTGATCTTGTAATATAATTGATTAATTGCTGTCAATCGGTGCCACTGGGTTGAATGTAGAGGTCCTCGTTACGCTTCGGACAATGAAATACATGAATATCGTGACTTCTGAAAGCCACCGTTTTTGTAAAAAATTTTTTTAGATAATCCTCGATTATGATTGGTCGATTTTGGATCAAAACAAATCAGTCGATATCGATATGCTTAACGTTGACGCTAACGCTAATAACAATAATAATTGAGTATTATTATTTACAAAAATTTTGGTTTTTATGAATTTTTTTACAGGTTTATTCATAGATATGAAATATCGATAGTATGATTACTAATAGATACATAATAACTACTTTCAAATGGGTGTTTTTTTTTTTTTTTTATAACTGAAAAGAATGTTAAGTCAGTTGGAAATGTATGCATATAATATACAGAAAATATGTATATATCTATTCAAGTCTATATACCGAAATTTCTAATTCAAAAGAATTCATAAATAAATAAATAAATAAAAAACAAGGGGTTAATTACACAAAATGAAAAGTGTAAAAGGAGTTATCTTGGCTCAACCCGGGGTTGGTAAATTATTTTATGTCTACCCTTTATCTAAATTAAATAGTAAATTGACTACATGGGTCAACCTTTTAATCTTAAATGCACGATTCTTTTGATCCCAATGCTAATGTGCATCGTTAATTTACTATTTGTAGATGATGTGGCAATAAAATATTTATCATCCGGGTAGAGCCAAGACTTTTTTCTAAGGCATAAAAAAAAAAAAACAAACAAATAAATAAATCGATAAAATAAAAATAAAATACAAAGAATACTATACAATATTATTTTAAGGATTATACCATTTTAATGCTATCGACATATAGCAGGTGTAAGAGTTAATCTGATGACACCATCATCACCAAGCAAACCTCTCGGAGGTTTAAGTGTTTCAGATTCATCTTCATAATGATCAGATTCTAAACTAGTTGTAGGTGAGGTAGATACTACATTTGGTAATACATTTTCTTGTCCATGTAAAATATCTGGATACGATGACGATGTTTCTTGTATTTTATTATTATTATTGTTTTCAGTACTTGTGATCGGTTCAACCGGTATTACTGAAGGGGACGTCATTGCAGTTGTTGATGTTACTATGGCAGTTTTTAAAGTACGGCTTTTTCCAACACGAGACTTTTTACCATCTTGTTCAGTGTAAGCCATTACATTTTCGAATTTTTGAGATTTTCGTTCATTTTTAGCATCGGATGAAGCAAGTATTTCTTCCAGAGCTTGCATCTTTCTCAATTTTTCAGGATCTGTTATAGTTTTTGATAGATGAGTTTTTTTAATTATGGGATCATTGGATCGCTTAGAAAAAGCAGGACGCGATAATTGAGGGGATGGATCAGATGTTGTAGAAAGAATTTTTTTAGAAGCGGGTTCAGTAGATTGTTTAGAAGATCCAGAACGTGAAGATTGAGAAGATGGATGTAATGATTCTCCAGGATTTTTAAAGGGATCTTGAGAAGCCGTAAGTTGCCGAGGAGAAACAGGTGATAAAGGAGAATTAGGTGATAAAGGAGATCGTGGTGAAGGAGGATAATTTTGATTTTGTGGAGTTGTGGGAGAACTTGCACCTGATGCAGATGAATTTGGGTCATGATGGAATCCTCTATTAAATAAACTTAAAAGTCCAGAACCGAATTTGTATATTGATGGACTTAAAGGAGATAATGGAGTTCCTGAATTACTATTATCAGCACTTCTTTTTTCCGTAGATTCCACCTGTTTATCCGATTGAGAACTTTCAAAATTATGAGTTATCTCATCTGTAGACATTAATATTGTAGGTGGCTGGACGAAAACATTAGTTGAATAAGTTAGCCTATCTTTACGCTGTGAAGTTAAATGAGTTGGAAAAGGCTCAATGGAAGTAGAAGATTCCAACATTTTATCATTTAAGTCATCAGATCTAGTAGACCTTTTTTCAGGAAGGGTAGAAAACAAAGAAGAAATATTGCTGGCATTACTTTTAGAACGTTGTATTGGAATTAGTTCAGATATTTGATTCTCTTGTTGATTTATATACCTTGGAGGAGGAGGCGGAGACATCAAATATTCTTTTTTACGAAGTTGTTCCTCGACTTTTTTAAACAATTCATCAGAACCCAGTATCTTAGGAATAACGATAGGGTTTACACATTGATGATCCTTATCATCTATTTTATTAGTACTAGACAACCTTTTCTCTTTTCTTTCCTTTCTACGTTTTTCTCTTCTTGCTTCTCTGTCTTTAAGTTTAGCGTTGTAACCTTTCCTAGTCTTTCGACGTCTTGAAGGTTTTAATTGGGGTTTGGTAGATGCAGGTAGTCCACCACCGAATGACATGTACAAACTTTGTTCGAGTAATCGACGTCTAAATATTTGAGAAGCACGATTTCCTTGAGGAACAGTAAAAAAATCTTTCTCTTGTCTCGATTTTGAATTTTGTACAGAAGATAAATCTGTAGACATGAAAATTGATGAAACGTATCTTGGACGACAAGATCTTAAAATTCGAGATGCTACACTTAAGCGAGAGGATGAAACATAAGAACGTTTGTTTGAATTATTTGAAACATCTTCAGTGTATTGTGGAAGGGGTATAAGAGAAGCATGAATGAGTTTTGGAGAAGGTTGAGGACCTGGAAGCCAAGGAGTTTTTTTGGTTTTTAATGGAGGTAAATCAGCATCCATATCTGTTGGATCATTTGAATAGTTTTGATTTGAAGTTGTTGATATTTCTAAAACAATTCTTTTATCTTTTCTCCTAGATATAGCAGTAGTTCGCTTAACCACAGTACGTTTTGATTGTGTTCTTCCAACTAATTTTGATCTCTTTCTTTCGGATGAAGATCTCACAATTTGTACAGGCCTTCTCTCAAGAGAGGATCTTTTGATTAGAGATGGTTTCCTTTCTAAAGGAGTTCTTGCAGGTTGCTTTTGCTTTCTTTCTAATGAAATTGTTGTAGGCTGTGATTGTGTACCAATGATAGATCTGCTATCTATTCCCGTTGATGGCATAATAGTAGAAGTCTTTGACTTTTGTGTAAGTTGCATTGTGTTGGTTTGATGAGCAACTTGTGAAGAATTTAGTTTTTCATGTAAATGATACAATGATGAAATACGTGGAGGTAACTGTGTTCCCTGAACAGTCCAATTTTTAGCTTGATTGTTTGAATTATTTACAGTCTCAACATCTTCTGGGATACTATAGTCATGTAAATGAGACTTATGTGTTGCATAGTTTCTTGCAGTCATGCTATTAGATGTAGTAAAGGTCTCACTTGTTCGTCTTTGGATTCCTGTTGATTCTGGTTCTCCATGAAGTATTGATAATCCTTTTGTAGTAGGTTCACTCGCCCGACGGTAAGGATTTTGGTTTACGTTGTTAGATTGAGTCATAGTTCTTTAATATTTAAATTTTCTGTTATAACCAGAAAAAAAAAAAGAGGATGATGAAAATTGATTTATTATTATTATTACTACTAATTATTATGATTATTACTGCCAAATATATCTTTTCAAATTTATGCAATAAACTTGTCAAATTCGGTAAAAAAGAAAATATCATCACACATTTAGTTTAAAGTTTGAAATTCATAACGAAATGGTTTTGTTTGTTTAATTAATATTTAATAGCATAAATAGCATCCAACCTTAGTAATAATCTGAAACTTAAAAAACACAACGCAGTCTAAGAATCAAGGTTTTAAACAAACAAGAAATGCGAAACCAGCCAAAAAAAGAAATGAAAAAAAATCGTTATAAAAGAATGAAGAAGTTCGGAAATGAAGTGAATTAAGGGCAATTTGTTTTTAGTAGGAATGGAAAAATTTAAAGATGAGAAACGATTATAGTCATTAAAGAAATCGAAATAATTGTTTGATGCTCGCAATATAGCGTGCAGAATATGTTCATAAACAACTTCGTGAATTGACTAATTGTGGGTTTTAGATCACCAATCATGCAGTATATCTAATATGATAAAAAAAAAACATCACAGTCCATTCTACACTACCATTTATATCGTTCAAAAAAGGTGTTACAAAAACATTATCCAGTAATCAGAATTTAATACTTTAGCTCCGAGAGGTTTGCATAAAATTACATAAAATTATGATGCGATGTAATTTCTGCACAAGCCATTTTCGCAAATTGATGATCATCTAAAAGCAGACAAAGACACTACTTTATAATGTAACTCTAATATTCTTTAAAATGCGCACGTGCATGCATGAGATACGTGAATAACTTACTATGTATAAACTTAAGGGTTTTGAGTACCGAATTATTGTAACCAACATTCGTTTTCGGTTTTCACACTCCCAAAGATCGGCTTTAACCTAAAATCATGATTCATCTGATTATATGAAATTCGGGATTGCAGAGCCAGCACGACATTTCATACAAATATATCCAAAATTGTGGAAATGTTTGACTGTTACCTCGGAATTGTCAAAGCTGAAAAATCCAAATAGATTTTCATTGGTACATTACTAAAAATAAACCTTTTTAAATGAAATGAAATATGTGAAATTTTTAGTAACGGTTAGGGTGACGATACATATTATTATAATGAAAACTATTTATGGTATATACGTAATTAGTAAAGTGTTTCATTATCAAAATCCCGATAAGCGTAAATTAATCGACATAGAGAAAAGAATGCACTAACGCTAAAGCGTAAATTAATCGACATAAAATCTTGACGCAACAGTGATCTGGTTTTAGACTTATCAATTAATAATTAATTCATATAAAATTTTGTGTACTTCCATAGAAAATTATATATATATCAACTGTTACTTAAATAACAGGCCATACCGTCACATGATGCGAATGATGCGAGACCGAACGAACATCTAAACTTTATATTATAAATTATAGATTATAAATTATAGATCATAAATTATAGATTATATAAATTATAGATAATATATGTAGAAGTACATACACATCTATATCTATATATATACATATACAGTATATTAAAAATTATTCTTAAGCCGTGCAAATAATTAACTTGATTTTCATAAAAAAATTTTTTCTATGATTTAAATCAGATGATGTTTATGATTTTAATATGCCTAAACGTCGCATACAATTTTTCTTATCCCTAGCTAGCATATACATATAAAAATTTTCTTATCCCTTTATAAAATAAAATAAAATTCGATTTAAAATGCAAGATTTTTACTGGCAGCTATGTTTTGTTCAATGTAACAAGAAACAATAATTTACTTTGCATGGTCTTATCTATTTTTGTTTAAATTTGTAATAAGAACCATTGAGGTCTAATGTTTAGATATTTAATAAAATAAAATCATTTTTCGAACATGCTACAAGCTAAATAAAGAACTTCGTTAAAATACAGTACTAGGTATCCTTGTGTATAAACAGAAAGACACGGCTTAGAAATTCATTATAAATATGAAAGCTATCATAATGGGCAGTGTAATCAATTTTTAAAATATAGAGTTCTTACCAGAACTTAAAATTTATAAATAAATTTCATAAGTAGCATTCACCGACAGTTTTATGAGTCATTTAATTATAATCGATACATATGAACCCTTTGTAAAAATAATACAGGGCACAAATTACTATATAATTTGCCAAGAGCCATTTCTCGAAAAAAACATAACATTAAGCTAATACCCTTAAGAGAAAATGCCATTCAAGAACTTGAGTTACATTGGACATTATGTACCAATATTCTAATTGAAATTGTACCTACATACGTTACGTGCGTACCTGTGTAGGGAATAACCCTGAGACCAATATGCTTTAGGATATAGTCGCACAAACAACAACAATCAACCCAGTGCTAGTAACACCAACCTAAAAATTTCACTAATTATGTGATTCTTTTAAGACAAATAATTTCGTTACCAGATAGGATTAAAGTTTCGATAGTATATTAAGATTAGTGGATTATAGTTGTACCAAAATTTCGCAAAAAAAACCCTTTTGTTATTGTGCATAAAGCAGTTTCATACGTAGCAAGATTTTGGGTTACAAATGATTTTTGGATTGTTGGATTTTTTTTTCCTAGATCTTGAAAATTTTTTTTAGGCTGAAGTTTTAAAAATTGTTAAACCCTAATAATGGAAGGCTTGAAAGACTTGGTCCGAACAATAAAGCTCTGACTTATGTCACGAGCTATTTCATATAAATTTATACCAATTAACGTCAGGCTTTTTACAAAGTGAAAGGGGGTTATTAGAGTGAAATCCTTTTTTATGAATTTGATTCTAATCGAGCTATTCATAGAAATTATTTAGTATACTTAATTTGCAAAAATTTTCTTTATGCATGATACTATTTCAGAAAAAATAAAATCAATTTTTACTAACCCTTAATAAGTTATATATTTAAATAATTTATTAATTTTATATAATTATTTTTTGATCATTATTATGGCTCCTAGGTTTGGTTTTGGTTTGGTTCAATTCGGTCAAACCCGAATCCAAATTTGAACTCGAAATTCCCTTAGTTCGGGTTCAGAGCATAATGCCAGCAATTATAATTGGATCTGCCCTGCAATTATGGGTTGCACTATAGAACTGTAATCAGCAATTCGCTCATTGAAAATATATTATTTTTGCACAGTCATAATCATATCGTTATAACTATAAATTATCGTGTTTTGTTTTTTTCTTTTCTGTATTCCTTATTCGCATTTCTTAAGCTCAGTTCATTTCTATGACAAATAAGAGTAATAATAAGTTATATATAAAAAATGCGGATAAAATAGTTAATTACACTTAATCACTTAATATCATTCGTATTATGATTATAGATTTCATGATGAGCCATAGATATAATGAACTTACTAACGCTAGTCGTCTGTTTCCTTTTTAGAAGTTCATATTACTGGCTAAATAAGCCAAATCTTGGCATTAGCCCAAGGTATATAATACGTTGAAAGGTCGAATTGGTTTCTACTAATACTAAACTACCACTAACTATTACATTACTTTCGAGTAGTTCTTTCGAAAGAGGCATTTGAGCTTGGCGAGTGGCGTAACATATTTCCGGATAGTATACACTGTTTCGAAGCTTAAAGAAAAAGTAAATTTGAAACCTCGGAAAATTCAAAGAGATTATGAGATCATAAGTGTACTTTACAGAAATTTGTACATAGTGTGATGGCGGATTTTTAGATAGGATTTAGGTAGAAATAATAAACGAATAATAAAGTAACTACGATGGCAAAG